GAAGAATTGCTAAAGTCAGAATTCTGCTGTTCAAATCAAGAAAAAAAAAAAAAGAAAACAATTTTGTGATGTTTCAAAAATTTAGCGATAAGAAGAAAATGTTTTGAAGAACAATTCTGTACAACATTCACAGTGCTGCAGTATACAGTTTATTGATACGATGAAAAACAGCGGTTAACACCAATTTGAATCAGTCAAACAACATACCACTAAATTCTCTTTTCTGGCTTTTTCTTTCCCAACATATCAAATAAAAAACCACTTTTTTTTTTGTATAGCACATTAGTCTGTGCTTTCATATAATTTTAGCATATTGTTAAGTGGTTAGCCAACAATTAGCTTTTTAATACAGTAAAATGCAAACCCAAAAAACATTCGGTATCGCTAGAGTTGGCAGTGCCTGTTCCGGTAAATGCAAGCCATATATGCTCGGCAGGATCTAACTGAAAGCTGCTTGTTAATTTTAATAGATTTTCAAATCAGTAGATTGCGAATAAAGCAGAAAAAAAGTAATTTAAAATCTATCAAAAAAGTACGATAATCATTAAAAAAAATTAAGTTTGCAGACTAAAAGAAAGAGGCTGAAAAATAGTTACAATTAGACAAACTAATCAGAACTTTTTGATTAGTTAAATCAAATATATATATGAACTTTTATCAGCTAAGAAAACAATTATTCTATCACTCAGATAACGCATAAGAAAAAATGTTTATTTATTATAAAACTAATTGGCATGTTTCTTTTTTTATTTGCTTTACTTGTCTTTTATTTTAAATTTTTCTTTTGGTATTCGCTTCTGTACTATGGTTTCACACTCAAACTTCCTAAAGGTTAAGTCTAATAGCACAATCGATACAGTGAAACTACATAGGCAGTAGAACGTTATAAGATCAAAGAAAAGGAAACAAAGTTCACCAATAATTTCGATCTTTTGCTACTATGTTTTTCATAAATTTATCGTTGTTCTCTTTTTTTTTTCAGTGCAAGACAATTGTAGTTGCTAAACTGTTACCACTTGTTGCAGGAAAAATAATTGCATCAAAGTTTTACAGCAAAGATTTTTCTAAATAATACTGTCAATATATGTCTTTTAAGGCTCAAAAATCAAAGAATAAAAGTCAATTAATCATAACAGTAAAAAATTTTGTGAAAAAAAATCCAATCGCGATTGCTTATTCTGATTTGTTTATTTTAACCATTAGAATTGTCGTGTAAACGATTCAATGAAAAACTGACAAAATGCAGCAATAAAATAAGACCAATTTTAACCGTCTCCTGTCATATTCCTTCGTATAACATTCATAATGATAATTCATATAAGCCTATTGTATGGATTTACTGTCTTTCAGCTAATCTTTATACTGCCTGACATTGCTGAGAAAAAAATAGAAGGCAGTAACACTAAAACTACAAAAGCTTTGAATTTTGAGTATTTTCTCATAGATATTTTTTGTGTAGCAACTCATCAAGTTTTTAAGTTTAGATCTTGTCTAAACTTAGATTTTTTTAAAAATTCTTTTTTAGAAAGAAAATTTCAACTGTAAAAACATTTTTTAGTGCATATTTCATATGTCATTTTATCATCTTATAGATATAAATAAAAATTTAACAGAAATTAGTAGAAAGAAAAAAAAATAATTAATTTTTTGCAACTTTTTTATCTGTTCTATTATCAGTTCATATAACAGAACTTCTTTTTAAAATTCTGAAACCCAAATTCTTCTTCGTTTTCTTTCTTAGCTTCTCAGCTTTTTGTCTACTTTTAATCCAATATATTCAAACCCTTTCTTTACAAAGCTTCTAAAAGACTCCTGTAAATAGTTTTATCAAGGATAAAGAATTGAGCACAGGTAAATTTTCATTTTACATTTACCGATCATAAAAAGACCCTAATTGGCTATAGCAGTTCACCAAACAGCACTCGACAATTGACAAAAGTAAAATTCAATTCTGCAAGAAGTAAACCCAATAAAAGACCATAAAACATTTTTATAACCTATCTTCCAGCTAACTCATTTAACTTCATACGTCTGATAAGTCGTTTGTAAGTTACCATATTCAGTTTTTTGTTAAAACTTTCTAAATTTTTGATAGAATTTTTTCTGGATTTTCAATAAATTTTCTATACGGTACATAGATTTAGCCTAAAGTCGACAAAATAGCTGATTGTTATGATAATTTTACTCAGTTTTTCAAAAAAAACCTAATCTCACTTGCATGTCATAAAGTGCACAGAAGAATCTCTAAAAAACTGGCTAAAAGTTGCAGCAAAAAAAAATTTGGCATTTTTTTCAAATTAACATTTTTACCTTATCATCCATCCAATATTCTGAGGTTCGATGTTTACATACTCCTTTTCGGCCTTCATCGGCTTCGGCAACTGCACTTTTTACAAGTGGCGATTTTGCCAACGCCTTTCTATAACATCATTTAGCGATTTTTAATTGATTTGTACAGTTTTACCTTTTAATCCTGTTTTTTTTCTTTTTTTGTCCATCTTCCTCTCCGGTTACTGAGTTTTGAATAAGAAAGAAAGTGAAAATTTTTATTTAATTTGCAGCTTGACTCTTTCTGTTTATTTATTTATTTATTTTTTGCTTATAATCAGCAGTAAAGATTGAACGGTGAAGAGGACTGAAGGTGACAAGAAGAAATACCTGCGCAATAACGGCTTCAATGAGCTTTTCCTCCTTTTATAGATTTTCATCAAAATCACTCAACTGCTTATGAAACATTACACCTACTAATGTAAAGAAAAGAAGCAGAAACCATTGCTATTTAAAGTTCCTATAGCAGCAGCTGATTGTGAACCGGTTTGAGTAAAACAAAAAAATAGCCAGAAGACCGATAAACTAATAAAAACTAAGAAAATAAAAGCAGGAAAAAATAAAATAATAAAAAAAATAGATGAACTGCAAGGTGGTGTTAATGTTTACTAAACAATATAAAACTTCTGCTGCTTTAACATTAATTAATAAATACTTGAGTAAAGTGTATATGCCAGACGTCCAGAAAACGATCAAACCGGAAACAACAACAATAAAAAAAATTATTATAAAAAAAAAGAAACGATTAATTGGTGATTAAAAATGTAATTTAGCAGTTGTTAAAATAGTTACTGGAAACTCACAATACTACCAATTCTAATTTCTAAATCCTTTATGACCTTAAAATAATTTTTAAATCAGCAGTTACTGAATTATTCGTTGCAAAATTCAATAAACCAGTTTTGCTTACAACAGAGTAGCTGACTGGTGATCATACAAAATATTCACACTTATCGGCAAGAAGAGGCAGCTAACTAAAGAATTCTTCATTATAGTCAACATATCTGATGCAAGTTTTGCCCCTTCTTTTTTGGAACTCAATTTTTCATTATATAAGTATAGATTATTGATCACAAATATCCGATCAAACAGCCATACATTTTGTTAGGCTGTTTGTCTAAAGCGACGTAATAAAAGAATATTTTTGTAGTACTTAGTTCAACTTTCAAACAAATCCAAAATACTGCATTTCTCCCCAATTGGTTTTGCTATATGCCCCGACAAAGATTACTCAAAAGTGAAGAGACAACAATAATAGCAAGGAAAAAAGCCCATACTGTATAAGTAAAAATTGATTATCACCTGAAAAGTGCACTAAAATGCTCAATTCTGCTTGGTCTTCTAACTTCCGAGTTGTATTGCTCATGTGAATATGAACGTAATGTACGATTGGATTCTGATAATGTCAATGATCCAACATCGCTTTCAGATTTTTCACTGTCGCTTTCACTATCATTTGAATCTCGACGGCGTATTAGTGGACGCTGTATTGACGAGAGGTCAAATGAATGTGAACGTTGTTCACGTTCATCAAATCCCGGCGCCAAATGCTGTGCTGGCGTAGATTTATAGGCCGAGTATGGATTCAACCAATTTAGTACGCTCTGTGAAACTTCTGTAGCATCTGTAGCACAACGTCCATCACCAGTATCGCTAGGGCCACCCAATCTAGCCACTGAAGCCGCACTTGAACGACGTTCTGAACCCACTCCAGGGTTGAGGTTTCCGACGGCGTCATTTACAATACTGCAATAAGGGTAATGATTGCAGCAAATCTGTGATAAAAGCAAAAAAAATGGTATTAATAGCAACAACGACCACAAATTCCTCTATACTATTTTAAATAGAAACTAGACGGTAATTAAAGCATACTAAAATTGTACTTAATACTTCATTTCCTACTTTTTTTGTGATGTCATACTTTATCGATAAAGTTTCTGACTCATAAAATTTTAGATTCTCTTACACCTGTTCCACCTGTTTTTTCTTTCTTATTGATTTTTGCTGTTTCTTTTTTTCTTTTTTCTTCTTTTTCTCAAAAAATTAACTAAGTGAAGCTATCCAACTTTCAGAAGAAGTTAATGTCACTTAAAAAAAACACCCATCATTTAATACCCATATGCTGCCAGCTTCACCAAACAAAGTATTAAATCAACTTTTCTTGAAAATGTTTAAACTTATAAACTTGTAGAACGATCACGTAAAAAAAACAAACAATTCTTAATCTAACTCCTTATTAGTATATAATATAAAAACTGACTTTTATCTGAAATAACTTATCAAACTGTTGCTTCTTTATATTCATTTAATAATCTCAAGTTGAAAAACTTGAAAAAATAGCAGTAATTTAAGCAGCATTACACAAAATTTATTTATTCTACTTATTTTCAAAATTATTCTTTTTAAAAGCAGAAACTTGACAAAGTCAAAAAGCAAACTTTTTTACATAGCGCAAAAATGGGTAGATTATAAATAACTCATAAAAAATTTGCCTCTTAGAGTTTGTTCTTTCAAACCAAACTTTATAATATTTCTCAGCTTTGTAAAAAGCCCAAGCAAAGAAAAAAACCTTAGGTAAAAGACAATTATACTATCCTTGAAACGCTGAGTACCAGTAAAATTAGGAACTTTTAAGGTAACATCTACGCAACTTTTTGAAAATGACAGCCACAAGAAACATAGACAGGAAAAAATGTAAACCAGCATCAATTCACTTTCTTTGACTTCAGATTTACTGCTTGAAACAAGCGACAGTTCATGACAGAGTGATAATAAAATTATCAAACTAAAAACGACAAAAAAAAAATATAACTCTGTTTGCTATCTGCTTATCAGAGCGTTCAAGTTGAAAGACAGTGTTGGAATCAGCAGCGAAACTGCGAGTTCACCGAACTTTGATCGTCTCTATCTTACCCATTGCTGTAATCAATTCTTATTAATCAGTAATGAACGCTTAATGCTTTGAAACATTGTTGTTACACCTTCAAAAATGGCCAGTAGTCGAAGTAAGAATAAAAGCTTTAAATATGATTTCAAATTCCAGCAGTTACTTGAGAGAAATATTTCTGCGCTTGTTATAGCTACCAGTCTTGCAGTGTTTTTACCGTTTAATAATGATCATTTTTTATTGCTACATTTCAATTTTAACTTAGTAATCTTAGATTTTAGACTTTATTTAGCATATTAACTGTCCATAAATCTTTTAGTCTCGCTTTCTCTTTTCAATGCAGTTAAATATTCAAAAAAAAAAAAAACAGATTAGATGAAACTGTTAAAAGCAGAAAAAAAGAATGAATACGATGAAAAAGTTCAGATCCGATCTTCTTGTACCCTCTTTTATTAATTTTTGGGGGAAAAGTTTCTTATCATTAAACTCGTAATTACTTCTCCCTTTTGGCAACAAAATTAAAGGGTAAAAAGTTTTTCTTGCAACCATTCTTATTTTAATTAACAATTTTTTCGGTTAATAACTATTGATTAACATTTATTGATATGGCTTGAATTGATGTCAATGAACAAGAACGATCAAAAGCACTGCTTTCTTTTACCTCTTTTCACAATTCTAAATATCACTGTTTGTGTTCAATAAAATAAACTTCTCTGTATTTTAACAAAAAAAAAAAGAAGATGTATTTTGTACTTTACAACCTCGTTCTTTCTTACCAGTGGTTCATAAATCACTGCGCAATTTGCTGATAAAGGAATAAAAAAATACTGCAGCTGATCTCCAGGTAAGTTAAGTTTTTTGGTGTCAGCTTACAACAGCCAAAATGTTTGAAAGTGCTGTCTGTGGGAAAGGTTCGAATGCTGTAAACTGAATGACCAAATAATACGACATTAATGATGGTCTAGTATTTCTGTTATTTGATAATGTACTAAACCTTGCAACATATTACTGTAGTTTACTGCACGAGATTTTTTAAAAAGTCATTGTAAACAGCCTCAGCAAGTCATCAAAAAGACAAGAAATAAATTGTTAGGCACTTGAGATTGCAAGCTTTTTAGCCAAA